CATGATGAGCACTGTGGACTATCATGCGGGAGATCAGGGTTCAAACCCAGCTACTGCAACTTTAACAAAAATCTCTTCAAACTTCATATTGTCACACAATTACCTTAACTACGAACACCTGCTGACGTGACAGGCACAAGCTGGTATAGAAAACACATTTGAACTCAATCAAAGTTCATTCTGAAAGTCCAATGCTCCTGCCTACATTGTCCTACAGCTGCCATTGTAATTTCTATCTGTAAAGGTCCTGTGCCAAATGATTGCGATGTCTTTTGGTACCTGTACAACTTGTAGTTTTTTAAATATTAATGTTTCAACTTTATTCCAAATTCATTTAATGGGAGTCAATGGGGCCTTGTAATGGTCCAAAACTGCCCCCAGCTGTACTCAACTTGGTACTGCACCATAGTTTTTTAATATTTAACCTCAATAGTTCAGTGTTTACAATACTAATATGATTATATTTTGATGTTTTACTATAATATTTTCTTATTACAACAATAGAACAGTATTATTATGCATTTTTGTGTCAATAATTGTATTGGCAATGTGGCCTCTTTCTACACACATACAAACCAACCTCTGCCACCACCTTCTGCCACAGCTCCATTGGTCTAATGGTCTATGTCATAGACTTTCATGTAGGAGATCAGGGTTCAAAACCCAGCTAACACAACTTAAACAAAAAATCTATCTCTTCAAACTTCCTATTGTCACACAATTACCTTAATTTCAAACACCTGCTGACGTGACAGGCACAAGCTGGTATAGAAAACGCATTTGATCCTGGTCCAAGTTCATTCTGCAAGTCCAATGCTGCAGGCAAAGCCATGCTGCAATGACATGCTACGTGGCAATGCACACTTGTTTTTACATCATAAAAACCCATGTCTAGTTACATGATGTGGTTTTAGCGTGAGTTTATTACATTTAGACCAGGATTCAGAAAGCTCCAGTTTCAGAGAGAACGACAGCTGCATCATATAAACGGGGCCTTAATTTGAAAAGATTCAGACTCAAATGAAGTCAAATAATCTGCCAGTGCAGTAAGACTAAACATGATGGAGATACGACTGTAACGCTTGTTTAAWGGACAGTATTTGCAGTGTATGTTCTTTGTGTTTTGACAATTGTGTTTCTGAATGTGATTTTTTTTGACTGTCCTGTTCATGTTTTCTGCAGGTCCAATAAAAACATCACTCTGACTTTGTCCTGGAACGTTGTTCCCAACGCTGGGATCCTTCCTCTGGTAGCTGGAAGTGGGCACGTCAGTCTGCCGTTTCCTGAAACATACGAAACCACCAAGAGCTATTAGAGATGCAGACACACACAACACAACACAACACACACATTCTGTTTCCTACATATTCCATCTTGGTTTGTAATAAAGGAGAAAACCTGAGCATGTGTTTTTGTGAACATTTTGTGATGTAGATATGGAGAAAATGGTAAATTCCAGGTCGAAACAACAGTTTGGTGTTTAGGAACAACAGTGGTGGTACCAACGGTCCAACAGAATGTTACGTATTGTAACCCAAGCTTCTGAGTATAAGCTCGCGCGCGGGATACCATCAGTGACAGCCTTAGAGGGCGGAGCTTAGAGCCTTAGAGGGCGGGGCTTAGAGCCTTAGAGGGCGGAGCTTAGAGCCTTAGAGGGCGGCGCGTAGAGCCTTAGAGGGCAGAGCTTAGAGCCTTAGAGGGCGGCGCGTAGAGCCTTAGAGGGCGGCGCGTAGAGCCTTAGAGGGCGGCGCGTAGAGCCTTAGAGGGCGGAGCTTAGAGCCTTAGAGGGCGGAGCTTATTCGTAATAGAACCGCACCGTTAATGGAAACAGACTTAATGAAACAAAATTTTATTAGTAAATAACAGAATCTACAACGGTAGTTCAAACAGAAAAGAGCTTTTATTACTATATTTACACTTTTTTTTTATTCTAAAGGCATCAGTCTGACAAAATAACAGGAAACAATTAAACGGTCTGTTCTAACACTTGTTTTGATTTTTAAACATTTTAAATTCACAGCTCAGGCTCTGATACTTGCAAACTAACAACCAATAAAAGAATTGAGATGAAATTAATGAGCACTAAAGAGAAGTTAATGCACCATCCGCTCTTTTAGGGCTGTCTTGTTCTGTCCATAAATTTATGTACAATCTCCTGCAATATGCTTGTACATTCAGCTCAATACTTTGGTCAGTTTTGTTGCTAATGTCATTTAGCTGTGGTGCTAACTTGAATTAAGTTGACTTCAAAACTTAATGAAGATTTACCAGCAGGGATTACTTTGAGAGTTTCACGTTGTGTCGCAAGACATTTTAGTACCAGACTAACATAAATGAAGCCACACATACTGTACTTCCAAAGGCTGCAGCTTAAATGAATGGCAGGACAGGTGTGTAAGCTGAAGTGATAGCTTTCTGCAGATGGACACTGGACAGATCTTGTGCTTCATCACATGTTGGCTATGGGCTGCTGTTTGTAAAGTTACACTGTCAAAAATTACCACCAATATTTTTGTTTTATTTAGACTTTTATAAGAAAAAAAGAACAGATTTATTTTTCAAAGTCAGTTTTTCACCAAATGATTCATACATTTATAAATGT